CAGGAACACTAGAGGTCTTCAGCCTTCTCAACTTTTCTGTACTATAACGTACTAGATTGTCTGTTGTTTACTTGGCTTCACATCTCCCACTTCTCATAGAGTCTCATTTTCCAGAACAGCATTCTCTGAATGGTTCTAGAGTGTAGTCTGCCAGTAACTGAACCTCACTTCAAGTGGAAGGGAGAATAGGCCAGGATTCCTTGGAGGCATTAGGGTCAGACTCTGGCAGACGGTGGGCTCACGGTTTATAGCACTTCCAGGTGCTCTCCTGGAATCCTTGCTTCAGTGCTGTAGACAGTTATCAAGGATTGTGAACATTCCATGAAGTGTGTTGAAATAAAAAAGAGTCTAAACTAATTAATGACACTAATCAGTGCTTTCTGTTGTTATTATTTTCACTTTATCTGAAAGGTAGACAGACAGACAGAGACAAACAGAAAGATCTTCCTTCTGGTTTACTCACCAGATGCCTACAATAGCCAGGGTTGCATCAGGCCAAAGACAGGAGCCAGAAAGTCAATCCAGGTCTCTGCTGTGGGTGGCAGAGACCCAGATACTTGAGCTATCATCTGCTGCTTTCCCAGGATGAGCCTTGTCAGGAAGCTGTATCAGAAGTGGAATAGCAGTGAATTGAACCAGGCACTCCAATATGGGTTGCTATGCTATACATCTGCTCAATTAATCAATACGTTTGACAAGCAAAAAACTGGTCAAAAGAGGTTGGGAATACAGTATAAGATATATATTTTATAATGAAGTTATGAAATGAAAAGATCCCTGGAGAAAAGCTAGGAAATGTTTTCATTTTTAAAATCATCTGTAGTAGTCAAACATCATTTATTAGTGTAACCAGTAGATTTTCACTTTTTAAAATTAATTTTGAAGTTAATATTTAAATAGAAAATAATAAAAATTATTTTGATAACCTAATTCAAGATAAAATAATTTGATAGAACATATTTGAAAATAAAAGTGAATATGTTTAAAACATATGAGGATATTTCCATTTCTATTACATATCATTTAGAATATTTTTCTTGTTTTGTATTGTACTGTATTTTAGAGGCAGAGAGACAGAGTTCCCCTCTGCTGATTCACTACCCAAATGTCTGCAAGAGCAGGGGCTGACTGAGCTTGGGGTTGGGAACTAGGAACTGAGCCCAAATCTCCCACCTGGATGGCAAGAACACAATTACCTGAGCTATCACCTGCTGCCTCTTAGGGTGCGCATCAAGCTGTTTATCTAATACCAAATTTATTGAGATGAATTTGAGTTGAGAGCAGAGCAAGGGCTCAAACACAACACTCTGATATGGGATGCAGGCATTCTAGCCTGTGGCTTTACTCAGAGAATGCTTTTTAAAATGTGTAGTTCACAGCATGAATTTGTATACTATACTTGATGAAAAGGTCTAGTAGGAAAGGATTAAATTTACCTTAAGCCTTATTGCTTGCAGGAAATGAGCAAAATTTGAAAGAATAAAACTTTGCAAAGGGAAAAAAAGGCAAAATAATTGGGTTTTAGACAGAAGAAAGCTGAACCAAAGGAAATTTGAACATCATTTATCCCCATTTCATCCTCCCATCATTAAATTCTTGTCAGTAGTGAGCTCTGGCTACCCCACTATGGACAGGGTGTTTTGCTGTTTCTGTAGAAATTGCATTATCATCCATTATAGTTACTCTAAATTAGCATCCTACTGAGATCTTTATTAAAACAAATAGACTTTTTAGGGTTATTTTGACAAATTAGTTTATGAAGTGATGAAATATAACTTCTGCTATCTCCCTTATGAAAGAAAATCAAGGGAGTAGACATAAAATTTGATCCTGTGACTGTATTCTGAACATCACCTGAATATTATCTCTAAAGATATATTTCCTCTTCAGCACTTCTGGAAGACTTGCTTGTCATATTTGTGGCTAATTTAGAAAGAGCTGGTACTTCTTTCCATTAGTATTATGAAGTTGTAGGGGATCAGAATGTGCTACCCCAAAATATGCCACATTGGCTTAGGGATTACTTTGAGCTGGAAGCAAATTAGAATGAATATATGCAGAGGAAGCCTTCATAAAGCTTTCCTATATGACTAAAAGCAGAAGATACTGAGAAGTGAGGACTGCCATAAATTTCCTATATCAGGAAAGTTTTATGATCCTGAAGAAGATAGATTGGCAATGAGATGGACCTGCATGAACAAACATTTTTAGATAGCCCCATGTTCTTTTAGCTTCCCCCATATATTTACTTTCCCACAGTTTGCAGCCTCTAAAAGGTTTAAAATCTTTTCCATTTCCATATCACTTTTCTACCAATATTGTCAGTCTAAATTTAACCATTCCCATCACCACTTTGAGTTACTTATCACTAAATTTCTTGCATTCTAGAGGTTACACATGTTGAACTCCTTTTCTCTGGTTTACTTTTTTTTTTTTTGTCTATCTAATTTGCATGGTCCTTGCAGAACTCTGTCGGGTATTGAAAAAGATTGGTTTCTCTCTTAAAAACATTTTTAAAATCAGGAACACAGTGAGAACACTTAGGGACATTTTGACAGTCCAGTCAGAGAGACCCAGGGCTGAAGGCAAGCCCTTCAACATAGAATGAACATTGATCAATGTCACCTCTTTGAAGCAGTTTCTTCAGTTACAAAATGTTTGGAAAGCAACTCTTCATAAACTTGTTGAGGTAGTTAGATTTTATATATACAAAGAATGTAACAGTGTGTACCTTTTAATATGGCTGGTAAATTATTGGTGATGTTCTTCTATTATAATACTAGATTATAGGAAGCAGACAATGTTCAAAGATGAAGGAACTTTTTGAGAGAGTCAGCTTTCTAACTTATCTGGAATTATGAAGAGAGAGGAAATAAAGTAAGTCAGTTTCCTCTCCTGGGTAGTACAATGATCTATCTAATTCTTGTTACCACAAAACTGTATGTTGGTAGTTCATAGAACTTCCAGTATAGAAAGAAAACAAAAAATATTGGCAAACAACATATATAAAATTATATGTTAGTTGCATGCCCACAGGAACACTATCCCAGATTTCTCTTGAGCTTCATCCTTTGTACTCATCTTCACTTGAATTTGGTATACATATCTTAACTCAACAAACTGCATTATTTCTCTTTGTCTCAAAAAATCATTCCTTCTGCATTATCCTTCGTAAGTTATGACAATATCTACTCAGTTGTTCATGTCAGAAACAGGTAAGTCATTGTTAGTATCTTCATTCTTACTCTTTCACTATCCAAATACTTATTACATCTGTCCACATCTCCCAATGTCTCTGTTATTGCTGTCTTTTTTTTTTTAAGATTTACTTATTTATTTGAAAGAGTTACACAGAGAGAGAAGGAGAGACAGAGAGAGAGGGAGGGCTTCCATCCGCTGGTTCACTCCCCAGATGGCTGCAATGGCTGGAGCTGCACCTCTCCGAAGCCAGGAGCTGGGAGCTTCTTCTCAATCTCCCACTCATTGAAGGGGCCCAAGGACTTGGGCCATCTTCCACTGCTTTCCCAGGCCATAGCAGAGAGCTGGATCCGAAGTGGAGCAGCTCAGTCTTGAACTGAAGCTCATATGGGATGCAGACATTGCAGGGGTCAGCTTAACCTGCCACGCCTTAGTGCTAGCCCTATTACTGTCTTTTAATTCTCCAATGTCTTTTACCAGAACTACTGAAATAACAATATGTGAGTTAGTAGAATTGCTGCATTTTATCTTACTCCAAATCTTATTTTTGAATATCTCAGTGTTTTTCTTTTAAATCCCTATTACTGGGTTGAGATCCAACTCTCCCAAAGATTTTGTAAGTCCAAATTCCTGGCACAGCCTAAGAAATCTACTTCTCTAGGCTAATTGTGAACTACTTTTCCCAACATTTATTCAACTACAAAGGTTTACATATGCAGCTTCTTTTTTCTGTTTCTACTCATGAGTGGAATGCTTGCATCTCAAGCAACGGCTTAACTCACTGGCCACAACACCATCTGCTTTAAATTTATTTGAGAGAGATGAGGGTGGGGGGTGAGCAGAGGGGCAAAGAAAGAATCTTCCATCCATTAGTTCACTCCCGCAAGTTCTGCGAACATGGAGGCTGGTTCAAGCAAAAGCAGGTCCCACGAACTCAATTCAGGTCTCCTATGTGGGTTGCAGGGACCCAAGTCCTGGAACAATTATGTGCTGTCTCCTGTTCCTGTACACAAGCAGGAAGCAGGAAGCAGGAAGCAGGAAGCAGACGCACAGCTGGGGGACTGGCACTGTGGCATCAACTGTTGAGCCATAGCCTGCCGTGCCGGCATCCCGTTTGTGTGCCGGTTCCAGTCCTGGCTGCTCCACTTCCAATCCAGGTCCCTGCTAATGCATCTGAGAAAGCAGCAGCAGATGACCCTAGTGCTTGGGACCCTGTCCTCACTTGGCAGTCCTGCATGAAACTCCTGGCTCTTGGCTTCAGTCTGGGCTAGCCCTGGCTATTGGCAGCTACTTGGGGGAGTGAACCAGCAGATGGAAGATTTCTCTCTTTCTGCCTCTGCCTCTCTGTAATTACACCTTTCAAATAAATAAATCTAAAAAACAAAAACAAAAACAAAAAAACCTAAAACATAAAACACAGCTTGGATCTGAACTCAGGCACTTCAGAATGGGTTATGGGCATCCCAGGGGCAGCTAAACTACTGTATCAAATATCTACTCCAGGAAGGAGAATAATAAATAAGAAAATGAAAACTGGACATTTTACCCTGGAAATTGTCTTGACTTTTTTGTCATGAAGGGAGACGTATCGATAAATAACCCCTTAGTGCAGCTAAATTGGAAATTTGTTGCTGGAAAATGATTGACTTTGTAGTTCTGAAATTCTGAGGGAATGAATTATGGGCGATCATAGTGAAAGTGTTGTGGGATAAACAGGCAGCAAGTTAGGTCTGAGAAGTGGGATAGGCAAGCAGCTAGTAGGGTCTGTGGAGCCAGAAGTCAGGAGCTGCTGCCCTCCCACCTTAGGTGTGAGTACCCTATTTGTCAATCAAAGATGTCCGCCTTCCCATGATGCGTCTGTTGCTTTTGAGACCTGCGCGTAGCAGATAAAAGGAAGTGGAAGACGGGAGAGCATCGCCTTGGCGCCATGGACCTCGCTTGGAGGTTCTGCGCCTGAGGCTGCGGTGCTTGAACAGAACCTTTCCTTTCCTGGCTCCCCGGTGATGTGATGGCGGGCCTTTCCTACCGCAGGTACCGTTTTCTCTTTCCCTTTCCTCGAAGTTTGTGAGCAACTCCGTGGCCCACTGACGTTATATAGTTCTCTGTGCAGGGTGGCATTCACTCACGTATGAATGTGTATTTGTTCCCTCTCAGCCAAATAGACTGTTTTTATTTGCCCCCAGTACCAATCTCTGCTCAGTATTTCTATCTGTACAGGAAAAAATAGCCTTGTTTAAAAATTAGTGAGTTCGTTGCTCACATCAGAAGTAGTTTGAATTAATTTGATTACATGACAATACTTACAAAAGTTAATGGTAAAAAAGGAATTAAAATGTTTATTTTTATGCAACACATGTTGAAATACTTGCCCAGTATTTTTGTCAGAAGCATTTTTCAGGAACTTTTTTGAAGACCCAGCGTGTTTATGGATTTCAAAATCTTTGAGCATTAAAATAAGCTTACTTTTAAATACATTTTCTAAAATCGTTTGAATTGTCCTCTGATAGCCCTATTAATACATGTGTACTAATCTACAATTCAAATGTTCTGACAATAAAAGTCTTCTTATCGCCAAAGAACTAAAAATCTATAAAAAGAATTGATTAGAAAACAACTGCTTATTACCATGAATTTTGTGTGTGTGAATGAACATTCATCTGTTGTATGTGTTCTTTGGCGGTGCCGAACTGAGAAATGATGCATCTTTGGACGATGAGAATTTGTAAACTTTTTAAAAAAAGATTTATTTATTTGAAAGTTAGGGTTTCAGAAAGGAGAGAGAGAGAGAGAGAGAGAGAGAGGAAGAGAGGAAGAGATCGTCCATCTACTAGTTCACTCCTCAGATGAAGTTAGCGGTCAGGGCTGGGCTAGTAGTCCAAAGCCTGAAGCCTCATGGGGTCTCCCACATGTTTGGCAGGGGCCTACGAACTCGGGCCGCCTTCTGTTTCTCTTCCCAGGCCATTAGCAGGGAGCTGCATCCTACGTGCAGCGGCCAGGACAGGAACCCATGCCCATGTGCGATACCAGCATCGCGGAAGAAGGGTGCCTTTCCTTGCTACACTACGATGTAAACGTCTTCAGAAAAGAATGATGAGATTTTATCTTTTCTCTCCCATGACTATGGCAAGCCCTGGAAATCTTGGAATTTTCACTTTGCAACTTGCAAATACCAAGAAGCACGGAAATTATTTGTTGCTTATCCTTGGTTCTTTCAGGTAAAATACACCCTAGTCTGCATATACTGAGGTGGTTTTTTTTTTTTTTGTTTTTTGTTTTTTGTTTTTTTCAGACAGAGTTAGAGAGAGAGACAAAGAGAAAGGTCTTCCTTTTCTGTTGGTTTACTCCCCAAATGGCTGCCACGGCCAGCACGCTGTGCCGATCCGAAGGCAGGAGCCAGGTGCTTCTCCTGGTCTCCCATGCGGGTGCAGGGCCCAAGCACTTGGGCCATCCTCCACTGCACTCCTGGGCCACAGCAGAGAGCTGGACTGGAAAAGGAGCAAGTGGGACAGAATCCGGTGCCCCGACCGGGACTAGAACCTAGGATGCTGGCGATGCAGGCGGAGGATTAGCCAAGTGAGCCACAGCACCGGCCATATAAACTGAGATTTTAATTAAAATACTCAGTAGCTTTAATCTTATGCCAAATTTTTGCGAAATTTTATTTTGTCATAAAACTGGGTTGCACCTTCTGTTTGTTTTCCTTCAGTCATACATTGTACTATTTTGCCTATTTTTAAAGTTTACTTTCCTCAATATATCCTCTCTCTCTTTTCAAAAATGTTATTTTTCAATACTTTTTTCTCCTTTACTTTTTCTTTTCTAAATTACTTGAGGATAATGATTTTGAATTTTTTTGTTACAAAATTATTTTTAAAGTTTTTTTCCAACTAAAATCATGAGGCCAGCACTATGGCATAGTGGGTAAAGCTTTTGCCTGTGGTGCTGGCATCCCATATGTGTGCCAGTTCGATTCCTGGCTGCTGTACTTCTGATCCATCTCTCTGAATTGGTCTGGGAAAGCAGTAGAAGATGGCCCAAGACCTTAGGCCCCTGCACCCATTTGGGAGACCCGGAAGAAGCTCCTGGCTCCTGCCTTTGGATTGGCTCAGCTCTGGCCATTGTGGCCAACTGGGGAGTGAACCATAGAATGGAAGACCTCTCTCTGCCTCTCCTTTCACTGTGTAACTCTGACTTTCAAATAAATAAATAAATAAATAAATCTTTAAAAAAACAATCTGTACTACAACTTAAAGAATTTTAGACTCATTAACTTCATTATATTCTTTGACAGAATTTTTATACATCTTTGGTAGAATACTAAGAAATTTTTGATAGTAATCAATTTATCATTTTTGGTTGCCTTCTACTTTCGTAGTATAATCACACTGAAATGTCTTGATAGATCATTTAATTCAAGCCAAGTGACTAGCCCTCTAGTTCACAAGTTGAACTGCAAGGGAAGACCATCCTGGGATTTACATTTTGTGTGCTTGGCATGGCTGTTAAGTAATCAATACTTGTTTCAACAGAAATCAATTCTTCTGAAGAAAAACAGACAAAAATATAGTCTTGTTAAACTCTTTTATGAAGCACCCCACTACCCACGCAATATCACAGGACCGTTGATAATGAAATGAACTAGGAAAACAATATGATAGAATATTCACATTGAGGACATTAATCACAACTAGCAGCACCGTCCCTTACCAAACACTGCATCAGCTAGTGAGCAATGGTTGGAAGGTTGTGTGTAAGGGCCTGCAGTGGTGCCTGGTAAACTCCCAGTTCCTGAAATAATGTGATTTGTTGGGGGAACGTAGGTCCAGGAGCTAGCTACATTGATAAAATTAGAGGGGCTGGAGTTGTGGCATGGCAGGTAAAACCACAACTTCCAGTGCCAACACTCCTGTGGCTGCTGGTTTGTGTACAGCTGCTCTACTTCCAATCCAGCTCCCTGTAATGGCCTTGGAAAGCAGTAGAAGATGGCCCAAGTGGTTAGGCTCTTGCCACCCAGGTGGGAGACCTGGATAAAGGTCCTGGCTCCTGACTTTGGCCAGTCCATCCTTGGCCATTGTGGCCATTGGGAGATGAGTCAGTGAATGGAAGATTCATTCTCTCTCTCTCTCTCTCTGTAACTCTTTCAAATGAATAAATAAATCTTAAAATTATGACACTGGCATTAAGGAGAGAGTTATAATCTAGTGAAAAGAAAAGAATAATTTAGAAACAAGGGAACAATCCCACAAAGATTTTGGGATTGCTTGGGATTTCTGAAATGTGGATGATGAAGATTCACTGTGTCTTAAGTTTAATATGAACTTTCTGGGGTGGGGTTAAATGTATATATTTTTGTATATTGAAGAGAGATTAGAAATCATCTGGATCCTTAGATCCTTTTTTGTTGTTGTTGTTGTACACATTCTCATTTTTTTTCCAGTTTTTTTTTTTTATTTAATAAATGTGAATTTACAAAGTGCAACTTTTGTATTGTGGCTTCCCCCCACCGAACCTCCCTCCCTCCTGTGGCCTTCCCCTCTCCCACTCCCTCTCCCATCCCGCCCTTCATTGAGTTTCATTTTCAATTACCTTCATATACAGAAGATCAACTTAGTATACACTAAGCAAGGATTTCAACAGGCTGCACTCACACAACCGCACAAGGTACAGGGTATTGTTCGACTAGTAGTGTTGTCTTTAAGTTTCATAGTAAAACACATTAAGGACAGAGATCCTACGTGGGGAGCCTGTACCCAGTGACTCCCGTTGTAGATTTAACAATTGGCACTCTTATTTATGGCGTCAGCAAGCACCCGAGGCTCTTGCCATGAGCTGTCTAGGCTATGGAAGCCCCTTGAGTTCACCAACTCTGAACTTGTTTAGTCAAGGCCGTATCACAGTGGAGATTCCTTCCTCCCTTCAGAGAAAGGTGCCTCTCTCCTTGATGGCCTGTTCCTTCTGCTGGGGTCTTGTTCACCAGGATCTTTCATTTAGATTGTTTTTTGGCACCGTGTCATGGCTTCCCATGCCTGTGAGACTCTCATGGACCTTTTAGCCAGATCTGAATGCCCCAAGGGTTGATTCTGAGGCAGGAGTGCTGTTTTGGGCATTTGCCATTCTATGAGTCTGCTGTGTGTCCTGCTTCCCCCGCAGGATCATTCTCTCCCTTTTAATTCTATCCTTCATTATTTGCTTACACTGGTCTTATTTGTGAAATCTCTTCGACACTTACCCTATCTTTCTCATCAGTTGTGTATTTATACTTATCACTTTACCAAGTGCACTGGCATTGGTCCCTGCCTCCTTGGTAAGATTGAGCTGAAATCCCCTGGCACATTTCTAGTTCCACCATTGGAGGTAAGTCCGAGTGAGCATGTGCTGACCTATATATCTCCTCCCTCTCTTATTCCCACTCCTAGATCCTTTCACTGAAGCAAAATTAAGTGAGCTAATAACAGATGTTACCACACATTCTTTTAGTCAACAGCATTCAGTGACAGTGGACAAAAGGTTAATTATTTATAGTTAACAAGGTTAGTTGTTTGATAAACATCCATTATTTTCACAAATCTGTATTCATATGCACACTTATACATATATGCACATGCATATATTTTGTCATTTTTCATCAGTCTGGCATTATTCATGGTGCCGGGGTTTATAGATGCTTTGGTGAGGGTAAAAAATAAGACAAAGTCTTCACTTCCATAGAGCTTATGTCATGCAGAAGACACAAATATACAGTTAATAATTATAAATAATTTTTCAATATAGTCGTAAGAGAAATCATGAAGGGAAAGCACAAAAAATTATAAAATTACATTGTGAGGAACCTAATTTAATTGGCAATGGACACAGAAGATTTGGACCTTCAGAAACATGTTTCCCCTATGATTCTAGCTGTTTATATGTGAAGCAGGGAGTAGGGATATTGGGTAGGGAAAGAGAGCAGCATTTAGTGGCCTGTAGCCAAGGGGAGAACACACTTCATTCTTTAAGGACATCCTTTGCAAAGTCATGTATGGTGACATCAG